CCCGCCGCCGCTGCCCCGCGCTCCGCCCCGTAACCGGGCCGGTGAGTGCCCGCGAGCCCGTCCGTGGCCCTGGGGGCCGGGGGAAGGGACCCTTGAGAGGGAGGGATAACCGGAAGTGGGGGACCCGAGGAGAGAGACCCCAGGCAATGGGGACACCTGGGGAAGGGGTGACAACCGGAAGTGGGGGTCTCGAAAGGCTGCTACCGGACGTAGGGTCTGTGGGGTCGCAGGAGCGATGGCATCCTGACCTCTCCTTGCTTGGGTGGCGTGGAGAGGAAGGTGGTGCTCACAGGGTGATGGACTCAGGTGAGGAAGCTTCATGGCTCCACCCTAACGAGTGGGGTTTGCACTCCCCCCTGTTCCCCCATCAGCTCCGTGCCTGACAACTGCCCAGACCCTGGAGACTAGCCTGAGGCTCCGGGGAGTGCAGAGCCCGCCGGGTGTGTGCCCCTGGGCACAGTACTTACCTTCACATCAGCTGCTGGTGGTGCTGAGCTCCCTCAAGGGCCAGGCACTGGGGCAGCGGTTCTCAACCTGTGGGTCGCGACCCCTTTGGGCGTCGAACGACCCTTTCATAGGGGCTGACTAAGCCCATCGGAAAACACATATATAATTACATATTGTTTTTGTGATTAATCACTATGCTTTAATTATGTTCAATTTGTAACAATGAAATTGGGGGTCACCACAACATGAGGAACTGTATTAAAGGGTCGCGGCATTAGGAAGGTTGGGAACCACTGCAATGGGGAGATCTGTGAACATGCCAGGCAAATGGTCTGCCCCCGTGGAATTTACATCCTAGTGGGCAGTTTCCTCCCACTTACAATGGGAGGAGTAATAGAGCCGGCACCAAATATAGTGAAGATTAAAAGAAAAGTTCTTATTCACCACGGTAGGCTCGATGCATGGTAAATGCTCATACATATTATCGCTTCATTATTTCACTAAGTTAAACTTCCTAAGGCAAAGAATTATATTGTTCGCTGTTGCATGCCCAGTGCGTGTGGGCACAGTGCCTGACTCATAGGGTAGGTGATCAGTGATTCCTTGATAATGACAGGTTGGTGAAGCAGACCCTGAGGAGTGTTTATGTCATAACACTGGACTGCCGTTTCTGAAAGAAATAGGTGCTGCGGAACACTGGAGGGAGTTGCCCTGGGGAATCAGGGAAGGCTTCACAGAGGAGGTGACATTGAAGCTGGGTCTGGAACGTGATGAGTTGTCTGGGTGGGAACAGACAAGGAGAGGAAATTCCAGGCAGAAATATCATAAATGCACGAGGTGTTCTGAGAATGATGGGACATTGGTTTGTTTTGACTGACATTACTATGCATTGAGAGGTGGGAAACTAGGAGACGGGCTGGAGAAAGACACTGAGGCTGGGGCATGGACGTGGACATGACAGTCTTCCTCCTGGGTAAGCACTGGATTGCGATTACAGGCATCTGTTGGTAACTCCCATGGAAATAGAGCCCAGGGTGGATCCTACGAATCTATGCTTGTTCCATTCCTTGCTCAGCATACCTCTGCCACGCAGATTAAACTCATTCAACAAATATTTATGGAGCTCGGACTGTGTGCCTGGCACCCTGTTAGGTGCTGGGTTTAAGGTGATGAGCAAGACAGTTGTGAATGTGGCTCACAAATTGCCTACAGACAACAATGGCGTGGAGAAGTGCTATGTCAGAGGGCTGTGGGGAGGCTCGTAATCCGACCTGGAGTCCGAGAAGGCCTTCTGCTTCAAGCACCGTCCTCTCTCACCTGGTTAGTGCAGCGGCCTCTAAATGGTCTCTTCACTTCCATCCTCATCCCCTTCCAGTCCATTTGCAAGACAAAATATAAATCTGGTCATGTCACTCGACTCAAAACCCTCTTGGCTCCCACCAAACTCAAGGGCAACCTTATTGGCCCACAAAGCGCTGGTCCAGTGGATACCTCCCTAAATTCACCTGCTAGTACTCTCTGCCTTGCTCACTTGGCTCTAGCCACACCGGCCTCTCTGTTCCTCGAAAAAGCCAGGCAGATTCCTGCCTCAGACTTCACCCTTGTTCCCCCAGATACCTGCCTACACAACTTGCTCCCTCGTCTCCTTTGTCTTTGCTCCATTGTCACTTGGGTGAGGCCTTCCATGACCACCCTATTTACAATTGCAATTCTTGTTCCCAGATACATTCAACCCCCTTCCTGCTTTATCCCTCTCCATAGTGCTTATGGAGAATATATAGTTTATTTTGCTTATAGCACCACCACCCCCCCCCCCCGCCACTAGTATCTAAGCTCAATGAAGGCAGGATTTTATATTCACTGCTGCGTCCTCAGTGCCTGGAAGTGGGCCTGGCACATAGTAAGTGCTCAATATTTGTTGAATGAATGAAGTGGCATCTAATTGGAACTTAAGGATGAATCAGTCAGGTGATGAACTAGAGGAAGAGCATATTAGTTGGAGGAAACAGGATGTGACAAGACAAAAAAACACCTCTGGGAGGAAGTGAAAAAGGCTGGGTAGGGCTGGCGGCTAGAATGCAAGGAATGAAGTAACCTGGCCACAACAGCTGCCGGGCACTTGCGCATGACTGGCTACATGCAGAGACCTCTGAGGTGGTCCCTGCCTTCCTTGAGCTCCAGGGGTTCAGTGCAGCCCATGGACAAGAGCTTGGGCTTTGGAACTGGACAGCCCTACTGCTGTCTTATTCTAGGAATATCTAAGGCAGCCGTTTTTCGTTTCTGCGTTTCACTTGATAAGTGTGTTGGTTCTGGCCTTCTAAGAAGCAGAAACTAAAATGAGATTAGACACGCAAGAAAGCCACTGGCAGCAACGCCCATGAAGCACAGAGGGAGGGGAGCTGGCCCTGTGGAGGCGGTTCGGGCAGTAAGTCTCCGACTGCACGCGGGTCCATGAAAGGGTCGGCTGGCCAGGCGGATGGGGAGTCCCCGAGGCAGAGAGTTACCTGGTAGAGGGGTCCCATGTCTCAGTCATTGGCTGGGGGCCAGTCTGTGCAAAGCGTGGACCCCTGGATGGCGGATCCAGGGGGAAAGCAGCTGGGCCATCCGTCAGTTATGCGTCACCCCAGCAGGAGGTCTGATGAGTTCCATTTCATGACCACCATGATAAGTCACATTGCATATGGTAAAAAAAATTCAAACAGTGCAGTAAAAAGCCTCCCCTGCCTCAAACATCCAGTTCTCCAGTTGTTCTCTGGGAACCATTGGCAACAGTTCCTGTATCTCTTCTCAGAAATTTTGGGTGTATTGACAAGTGTATGTATGTATATATTTTAGAAACATAAACGCAATTATTTGTATTGATTTCAGAGAGGAAGGAAGAGGGAGAGAGGGTTGGAAACAACAATGATGAAATCATTGATTGGCTGCCTCCTGCATGCCCCCTACTGGAGATGGAGCCTGCAACCCAGGTGTGTACTCTGACCAGGAATCGAACCCTGACCTCCTGGTTCATAGGTCGATGCTCAACCACTGAGCCACACCTGCTGGTCAAACACAACTATTTTATATACATTGTTCTGCGACTGCTTTCCCCCCCTCCCCCTCAGCTTATATTTCCATGACTAAATAGTATTCCATTCATATGGTGATATTACTTAACCAGCCTCCAGCTAGTAGGTAAAGTATTTCCAGTTTTTTGCCATTATAATCCCACCACCTTTTTTTTGGTGTATAGGACGACACTCTAACCAACTGAGCCACCCGGCCAGGGCTAAATTTTGATAGATAATGACAAACTGCATTCCAAAGAGGCTACCTAACTTATTCTCCCAACAGCAAGCATATCAGAGTACCCATTTTGCATTTTGCCCATCTGAATTTCAGAGTTGTTTTAATTCACATTTCTTTAATTACGAGTTACATCGAGCATCCATGCATACATCTGTGAGCAAAACCACGGTGTTGGGTGAGGAGTGTGTGTTTCCTGCTGTAGGTCTGGGTGCCCCTGTGGAGATTCTAACTTAATTCAGCCTTTCAGATCCAGGTCACCCCTCCACCCCAGTTGAGACCCAGTGCTCTGAAGTTACTTGGCTTAACAAAAAACGTTCTAATCCCCCCGCATCAGCTGCCCTGGGGTTTGAGATGACCAGTTAAGAAGGCCGCACTTTATTAACTCCGCTTGGGGCATCTGTTTTGACAGGCACCCTGGTAGCTAATGTCAGAAGAAAGTGACTCTCTGAGAACTAGCCCTTCTGTGGCCTCACTTTCCGAAAATGAGCTGCCACCAGCACCCAAGCCTCCTGGCTACGTGTGCTCGCTGACGGAAGAACTGGTCGCCAAGGCCAGGGAAGAGCTGCAGGAGAAGCCGGAGTGGAGACTCCGAGATGCGCAGGCCCTCCGAGACATGGTGCGGAAGGAGTGCCCGGGCCTGCGCACCGCTCTGGACGACGCCTTCCTGCTGCGCTTCCTCCGGGCCCGCAAGTTCGATTACGACCGGGCCCTGCAGCTCCTGATCAACTACCACAGCTGCAGGCGGAGCTGGCCCGAGGTCTTCCAGAACCTGAAGCCGTCGGCCCTGAAAGAGGTCCTCGCTTCCGGATTCCTCACCGTGCTGCCCCACACGGACCCGCGGGGCTGCCATATCCTCTGCATCCGCCCAGGTTTTGCCCTAGGCTGTGGTGGGGTGCTTGTGCACAGCCCCGGTTTGGGATGCGTCTGTCCCGCCCCTCACCCCGTTTCCTTTTCCCTTTTATCCCCTCCATGTGTTAGTCAAGGCCTTTCGATGGCAGATAACAAACCCTACTCAACCCGGCTTACGAAAAAAGGGAGGATTTAGTCTGAGGAGACAGGAGCGTCTCACAGAACCAAGCCCAAACTGCATGGTTAGCATGGGAAGAGGTGGTTCCCCAAGGAAAATCAGGGTGGTGTCCTGAAGATAAAAGGACACATCTGATGGCAGATGTCCATTAAGATAAGTACTATTGCCCTGGCTGGTGTGACTCAGTGGTTAGAGCATCATCCTGCGCACCCAAGGGATGCGCCATCAAGGGCACGTACCTGGGTTGCAGGTCGATCCCTGGCCCTGGTCTGGGTGCATGTGGGAGGCAACTAATTGATGTGTCCCTTTCACATCCATGTTTCTCTCTCTCTCCTCCCCTTTCCCATCCCCTCCCTTTCACTTGCTCTAAAAATCAATAGAAAAAATATCCTCAGGTGAGGATTAGCAAAAAATAAAAATAAAATAAGTCCTGTTATCCCATTCTATTTATGAGGCGATGAGGACTCAGAGTAAGGAAGTAACTTGCCCAAGGTGTAACTTCAGAGTTCACACTTTGACTTCAACACAATTGCAATTTCCATTTCAGGAGTTAAGAAATGTCAGCTGCTGCTGAAGGTGTCCGATTTCCTAACCTCAGTAGAGCCATGCCAGTAGAATATCATCTTGCCTTTCTGTTTTTAAAGGACAGTTTTAGCACAGAGATCAATCTTAGCCTGTCTGGTTGTTTGTATGTATTTATGTAACATACTGACCATCTCTTATGACCTTAGACAGATGGATACCGAGCAGCTATCCAATCACCGAAAACATCCGAGTCATATACTTGACATTGGAAAAGCTCATTCAATCTGAAGAGACCCAAGTGAATGGAATTGTAATTCTTGCAGACTACAAAGGAGTGAGCTTATCAAAAGCATCTCACTTTGGCCCTTTTATAGCCAAAAAGGTGATTGGCATCCTTCAGGTATGGCCTCCATTTGTCGTGTGCCTTTCTGTTGTTTTGGCTTCCCCAGGGCCCTGTCCAGTTACCCATGTCATACGCACACCCCACTTCCGGCTCCTGCAATCAGAAAAATACGAAAGCATTGAAAGATCTATTTACCACTCATTCCCCTGAGGGTCTCCAGTAGTTTCTGAGGTACCTTTAATCTAGGCAAAATCAGCTTTCGGACAAGACTCCAAAAACCAGAGAAATGCTTTTTTGCTCTTTCTTTTTGGTCAAGAAGACAGAGGAGAAATTCTCCTAACAAATGAAACTGAGAAATTATGTTTCTGCCCAAGGTGATAGAGCTGCCCAGCCGCCTGTGGGACCGGGGTGGGGAGCGTTGTTGGACTGTTTGGCCCGATGCTGTCACCCCTCAAGTTGTGTCTCAGAGCACAAGTCACTGAGACCGTCGGGTCCTTATATATCTCCACAGTGTGTAATGGTTTGCAGAGCACTTTACGGTCATCGTAACCCATTCAGTGCTTCGAGGAATCCTTTCAGATAGACAAGTCAAGAATTACTTTCCTTTTTCGGTCGCCGGGGAAACTGAGACCTAGCAGATACCGTGTGGCCCAGGTCTCTCTGGCTTGACTCCTAGCTCATTCTGACCCAGCCCGTGGGTGCTGGCTCTTGTGAGCTGTGGGGACCAGAGACAGAACAGTTCTCCATGTGTCTGAGGCCCCTGCGGTGCCCCAGGCTGGTATGTAAACATCCACGTCACATTTGGTCGTTATTGGAAGTTTGAATTCTGGCTTTGAGGCAGCGCTCTGGATTTCCTTGGCGTCCACTCTTCTGATGCCTCCTGCTAAATCCCATGTAGATGTCAGGGTCAGCATAATGAGTTTAGATTATTGTTTCCTGTAAGATGATCTGAGAGACAAAATTCCAGGGTTAAATAAATTTGGGAAATAGGGTAAAGCAAGTCCCTTCCTTGTGAATGTCACTGTACAGTAAACATTTACATTTAAGGCTCTGAACAGTCCTGCAGTTAAAGGAAATCTGTTTGACTATATTTAGTTTGCTACTTCTCAAACTCATTTACCTACCTGGACGCTTTTTTACATCACACCTGGTAGCATCCCGAGGAATACACTTTGGGCAACTCTGATTCAGAAGGTCTGATACTTACTAGATCCATCCACATAGGCTCAGACCACTTTTTACCTCCCTGTATTGCCCCTACTTGTGTTTCTTTGAGGAGACCTTGAGAATCAGACCAGACTGAAGAAGATTTCACTGGGGGAGGCAGGCTGTGGTAACTGACAGTTTGCAAATATTCCATATGTTCTAACATCCCCTTCCCTTCCCCCACAGGATGGCTTTCCCATTCGGATAAAAGCGGTCCATATCGTGAATGAACCTCGAATATTTAAAGGCATTTTTGCCATCATAAAACCATTTCTGAAGGAGAAAATAGCAAACAGAGTAAGTGTGATGATCCTACTAAAGATACTTTAATTTTGTTTCTGCTTCCTTATTGGTGACATCTATAAATTTAATTGTGACATCAGTAGTCTTATCTTAGTTTATTATTCTTGCCCTGGGACTATTAATTTGGAAAGTTCAGTGAACAGTCCTTTCTGTGAGGGGGAGATGAATAAGAATATAACATTTGACAATAGAGAGAGCAGAGCCAGGGTTGTTATCTAAGAGCTTCCCTGCTCTGTAATCAATCAGACTTTTTCATATCCTGGGCTGAGCATTGTAAACCAACATATTTTACATGTAAGAGGACATGGAAAAGGGTCGTCATTGGGCAGGTGGTGAAGAAGAATTATGGAGATTTCTCACTACAGCTCCTTGGGTTTCAAAATACTATTTAAGCCTTCCCATCTACCTAATCTGTAGTCCTGTGTAGAGTGTGTGGAATAATTCAAGGTTTATGAGGTAGGTGAGCTTTTAGCTTAACTCTTATTTAAGAACAGGTAAATGACACTTGAAAAGATGGGAGAGCCTTTTCCAGCACCGAGATTGAAATATGGTGGGTGGTAGTTTTCCGCTCCCTAGGCTTAGGAACATTGTGATCACTCCAAGGACTGGGACTTGAATTATATATATATATATACATACATACACACACATACATACACACACACACACACATATACATATACATACACACACACACATATACATATACATATATACACATATATATGTATATACGTATATATATATATATTTTTTTTTTCCCAAAGAGGAAGCACAGAAAGACAGAATCTCAAGATTGCAAGGGAGAGAACTTAAAATCCAGATCCCCAGTCCTTTTTCTGAAGACTTTAAAAAAATTTTTTTTTACTGATTTCAGAAAGTCAGGGAGAGAGAGACAAACATCAATGATGAGAGAGAATCATTGATCGGCTGCCTCCTGCACACTCATGCTCTCCACTGGGGATCAAACCCACCACCCTGGCATGTGCCCTGACCAGGAATTGAACCATGACCTCCTGGTTCATAGGTCGACGCTCAAACCCTGAGCCACACCAGCTGGGCTCCCTGAAGGTTCTAATTCATCAGCTCAGGGGTACAGCCCAGGAGTCTGTGCTTTTAAAATCTAGGAGATTCTGACGCACAGTTAGGTCTGAGAACCGCTAACTCAGCGGCCTCCACGCCTGGGTTTGGGCCGGTGTTGGTTCCTGGAGCTCCTATTTGGAACTTGCTTTTTCCAAAGCAGCCTTTGGGCCAAGTCTTCTTTTCACACCTGTGAAATGGCCTTATCTGTGGCCCACAATCTTCTTCCTTTGGTCCTTCATATGTTCATTCATTCATTCAAAAATATTGATCAAATACTACATGGAGTATGTTCTAGATAAACAAAATAGACCAAATTCTCAGTCCCCAGGAAGCTTACATGCTAGGGCAGGAGTGGAAAACGTCTGGTCCACAGGCCGTGTAAGGTCCACAAAATCATTTGGTCTGGCCCTGCCAAGGCAATAGGGTGAGTCAAATGAATGTTTGACCAAAGATAGCAGGCTAATTTTTAAGTTAATAATTTTGTGTGGCCCGAGAATGAGGTTATGAATATCCAACTGGCTCTTGGCAGTAAAAGGTTCCCCACCCCTGTTCTAGGGAGACATAGACAACGGATTATATGTTACCTGGTATTAGAATGTGATGAGTGCAATGGAGAAAAATGAAGCAGTGAAAGAAGTTAGTGAGTGTGGGAAGGGGGAAAGGATTGTAGTATTCAATAGGGTGGTTAGAGGTAGCGTCATTGAGAAGTTGGCGTTTGAGTAAAGAATTGAAAGAGGGAAGAGAATGAGCCTTACAGATCCCTGGGACCAGCAACAGCCCAATCCTGGGGTGGGAGCACGCCTGGCATACTGGAGGAGCAGCAGCGGGGAAGCAGGAGAAGGGGGAGGCAGAGCAGTAACGGGGGCTAGATCATATGGCCTTTGGCGTTTAGTCTGTGAGGGGAGCACTGGACAGTTGTACAGAGGAGTGACGTGATCTGACATCACTGAAATGAGCTTAGATTGTGGTGGGACAAGGGTGCAAGCAGGGAGACCAGGAAGGAGGTGTTGTGGGAGTCTGGGTAGAAACGATGGTGGCATGGTGCCATTAGGGTAGCAGTAAGGTGGTTGGATTCTGGGTATATTTTCTAGGAGCAGCCAACAGGGCACTTGGTATAAAGAAAAGAAAATTAAGAATCCTCAAGCTTTTCAAGGAACTGGAGGGGTAGAGCTGCCATCATCCATTCCTTTATTCATTCAGGATACTTGAGCACATGGCATGAATGAGGTGAGTGAATTACTGATTAACCTAAGGCCAGGTGTGTTTTCATTTCCTTCCCCTCTAGTTTTTCCTCCACGGGTCTGACCTGAACTCTCTCCACACAAACCTTCCAAAAAGTATTCTCCCCAAGGAGTACGGGGGCACAGCTGGCGAGCTGGACATTGCTGCCTGGAACGCGGTGCTGCTGGCCTCGGAGGAGGACTTTGTGAGAGAGTTCTGCCAGCCTGTCCCCGCCTGCGACAGCATCCTGGGGCGGGCCCTGCTGCCCGAGGGGCTGCCCTCAGAAGCGCAGTGTGATGACTCCATGCGGGCTGTGAAATCACAGCTGTACTCCTGCTATTAGCCAGTCCCTTGTGAGCACCACCAGCTTTCAGTCCTTTCCTTTTTTTCTTTGAGGAGGCACAGGAGAATTTTAGGTGCCATGGATTCTTGCTCCTTGTAATTAAGCCGCAGCATGGAGGACAAGCTGAGCGTGAGCGAAAGGGCATGCCCTTGATCACTTGAATTATTCCATGAAGACATGGAAAACGTTCCCAGTGATTCCCAAATTTGTGGAATACCAGTTTGCAACCATTAATATGGAAGTTGTTTCTGGTTCTTAAACATCTCAAAGCAGGAAGAATGAGGACCAAAGTCACTTTGATCCCATCTTCAGGAGAAAACAACCCAATTAGCCAGTCAGCACACTCCTATGAAACACTTGGGTCCAGCCTGCATGGTGGCCACATGTGAGACTTTAGGAGTTTGTGTCTCTCACATGAACCCTAACTCCAGACTTCAGTTGCTCATCAGGAATCTACAAGTTTTTAGCCCAGGTACCTGTTGCCATCATGGGTTTGGAAAGCACCTTATCTGAATCGGGCACACAGCGGGACGTCAGCAGCTTGACCAGGGACTTCCTGATCAAGTTTGGGAGCCAAGACTTCAAGCGCCTGTGGGATTCATTGGTTGAATCTTGCAGTAGAAACTAGTTTTCCCAAATCCGTAAAGCCTTAGTCTGGTTCTCAATAGAATCATGCAAGGTCCTAGAAATATACAATTTTATTCAATCTAAAATACTGGAGGCCAGGCCTGTGTAGCTAAAAGAATGCTGGCCTAAGAATTAAGAGACCTGAGCTCCAGCCTCAGATGTGTGGCCATGGATAAGACGTGGGCCTCTGTGAGCCTCAGTTTCCTCATCTGTAAAATCATGCTCAATGAAATGACACATAGGGCCCTTTGGGCTGCTGAGGTTCTGGGGTTTGATTTAGTTATTGGATGTTAGACATTGCTTTTCCGCCTAGAACAGCAGTTCTCAACCTGTGGGTCGCGACCCCTTTGGGGGTCGAACGACCCTTCACAGGGGTCGCCTAAGACCATCGGAAAACACATATATAATTACATATTGTTTTTGTGATTAATCACTATGCTTTAATTATGTTCAATTTGCAACAATGAAATTGGGGGTCACCACAACATGAGGAGCTGTATTAAAGGGTCGGGGCATTAGGAAGGTTGAGAACCACTGTGTCTAGTCTAGAGTGTCATCTTTCTAGGCCAGTGGTTCTCAACCTTCCTAATGCATGCTCAATGAAATGACACATAGGGCCCTTTGGGCTGCTGAGGTTCTGGGGTTTGATTTAGTTATTGGATGTTAGACATTGCTTTTCCGCCTAGAACAGCAGTTCTCAACCTGTGGGTCGCGACCCCTTTGGGGGTCGAACGACCCTTCACAGGGGTCGCCTAAGACCATCGGAAAACACATATATAATTACATATTGTTTTTGTGATTAATCACTATGCTTTAATTACATATGAATACTTTAAAAATAGGTCACAGAAAAAGCCTACAATTATAATAATAAACAGTACATTCTTAATCATCTCCCTATCTGTGTAAATGCATGATAAAGGGTCCAGAAAAATTACAACAAAGTGATAAGTGGATATCACTCTAGGCCAGTGGTTCTCAACCTTCCTAATGCCACGACACTTTAATACAGTTCCTCATGTTGTGGTGACCCCAACCATAAAATTATTTTCGTTGCTACTTAATAACTGTAATTTTGCTACTGTTATGAATCGTTATGTAAATATCTGATATGCAGGATGTATTTTCAGGGGTCGCGACCCACAGGTTGAGAACCGCTGCCTACATGCATGTGGCTGGATCCTGTTTTCCGTGCTACACCTGAGCCTTTCCAAGAGGCATGTGTCAGTCACCATTTGGCCTGCCTTTAAAGAAACAAGTATGTATGTCCTGGAACTCAGTGATACCAACCTCCTTTTTGTAGTGAGGGTTAAACTTGAATGGCTTTTGTGAGGGCAGGCAGGTGAGATGACCAGGATCTTGTATGAATTCCATCCCTGAGATTCTGGTGGTATATTGTAAAGCTGGCAGCAGGGAATGGTTAAGTTACTTGGGATTCTGAAATTTTGGTCTCTGGAAATGAATAAAGGGCAGGTTATTGCTGGGTCACTTCTGATGGCCCTGCCCTCCCAAACCCACGGAATTTCTCTCTTTGTTGTGGATGGGCACACTTTAATCTGTCCAGCCAGGCTGGGTGTTTGTTCTGCATTTCAATACTTTAGACTCATCCTGTCAAGAATTTAGCCTTTGCCCGGGTGTCATATTAGTGGTTCACCTCGTGGCTTTTGACCTATTTCCTTTCCTATTCATTCCATGTAAACGATGATGTTAAAGTAACAAGTACTATGTGTTGTGTGTGTGACTTCTCTGTGCACTTACTAGGCCACCAGGCAAGGTGTAAGTGAACAGTGCACCGAAATTCAAAGGCCAGTCTCTTGCAAATAAGCTGTTCATCTTTATAGCACTTTAAAAGTCTGGAGAAGTTGTTGGTAGAAGTTAGGTACCTCATTAGTGCCAATTCTAGGGAAAGTTCTTTTCACCATAGATACTAACCCTGGATCCTCTAGGACCTGGCTTAGCTGAAAGTGTCAAAATGCACACCCCTGGCTGCCTCTAGTTCCGTCTGACAGTGATGGTGTGACCAGGATTGCTGAAAAGATCTAAACAGGACAAGTGGGGTGGCTAATGTAGGTAGAGGTTCAGGACCCATCTGCCTGGATGGGAAAATTAGTTAGAGGCTTTCCTAGTTCCCAAAGAGTTTTTTTTTAAAAGGGGGGCGGGGGAACAGCTAGACAGAGAGAAATGAGTTGCTCAGCCCCACCAAGTTTCCAAGGTTGAAACTGCATTCCATCCCATTGCCTTTGTCTAGGTGACTTCAGTAGGAGCGGCCAAGCTCCCCTAGAGAAGCATCTCAGAGCCCAGGAAGGATGCTGTTCAGGCCTTTGTCATTGAGCCCAGGAGCTGTTTCAGCTTCTGAAAGGAGTCAGAGCCAGGGTTTGTCTGCTTGCCTTCCAGAGCTGCTGCTTTGTTTTGGCTCAGAAGAGGGATCCGATAGTTTTGGCACCTGAGGAGTTTGAGCCAAACTGCGAAACCAGGACCTCCCTGGGTGAAGATCAAGGCAGCCTGTGTTCGACTTCACCAGCATTTCCAGTTCCCCGGCAGGGGGATGGGCATGATCAAGGGAGCGCACAGGGAGCCATACTCATTAGTGGAGGCACACAGACCGCGCAGCAGTGAGCAGTGGAGAACGGGGAACGGGGAGTGCTTTCCTTTAGGAAGACACTCCAGCCCATTCCACAGGCTCCTGAGAATGAACTTTCCCCACAAGTCAGGGCAGTGTGC